CGTTTGGTTGTGGGCGCCTCCTGCATATTGGTTTTCAGAAGCCGCGTGCATTGGACCAAGCGCCTGCTTAGCCTTGAGCTTCTGGATGGAGCTGGCTTCAGGGGAGGAGAGGCCGGAGGAAGTTGAATTCAGATGAACAAAGCATGTCCTCCCTCCCTAAAACCGTTATTTTCACTAGGCTTGTGTCTGCTCTGGGCAGATACACGGGGAGCAGGGCGAGGACAGGGGATCCGTGCAAGCCGGGGTGATGCTGTCTGTCTTATCGGTGGCGTGGGATGGCCATGTATGTGATCTTCCAGTGGAAATTCCGTGAGAGTAGCCAAAGAACCCAGGGAGCCCCCGAGAGGGAGGAGCCCACAGCATCTCCTAAGGGCATCCCACTAAGTGGCTGAGACTGCCTTCTTCTGCCCTGGCTCGTTCTGTTTCTCGTGCGGTCCCCGGTGGTTGTTTGGCAGCACCCTGTTTCAGAACCAGTCGGAATCTTCCACCTCCGCTCTCTCCGTTCATAGTTCTTGGGCCCGAGGGTGGGGAGAATCGGCAAGAGGATTCTCTGCGTGTTCCTAAGGAAGGCATCCTGCTCACTCAGTTAGGTCTCTGCCCACGGCCCGCCCGTGGGGCACTTCCAGTGGCATTTAAAAGCGCCTGGCCAGACGCATGGGGTTGCCCTGAGCTGGAGTGGGCTCGCCTTTGGTTTGGTTTGGTTGGTTGGACTGCAATTCCATCCAGTAAATCCGACGCAATCGGCTGTTTAGAGCAGGACCCTCAGCCTCCACAAGGGGCCTGACAACCAGTCACCGTGAAGTGGATCCCACCCCATGTGTGTCGGTGTAGAGTTGTCAGTGGCTGGTTTGTTGGGTTTTGGGGGGAACTTCTTCATCACTTCCTTCTTCCAAGAGCCCTCTGGGGAGATCTGAAATCCGACCCTCTCAGTCAACAGCAAGATGAGCAGTTCAACAGCACCCGGCACTTCTCAGGAGAAAAAGGAGGCTTTCTGTTCCCATGA